GTCTTTTTCTAGTCCTTGTAGAAAAAGTCCCTCCCGTTTGGTTCCTAAAGACTTTTTAGGGACTTTTTCTAGTTTCTCGGGCTAAAAAGTCCCTGAACCAAACACCCCTGTAAGTAAACGCCACGCAACTATTTGAAACTCACACACTGACACTAATTCAACATCAGAATCACATACGCTGACGCATCCACAAATACAGGCTGGTGCATGAGGCGAGCGAGCAGTTCTGTCTGGAGCGTATTGAGAGGCTCATGAGGAAGGGCCTCTGGCAGGGCCGGGCCCATAGTGGTGCAAAAGATGCGGCCCGCACAGGGCCCAGAATTCTGGGGGCCCATATTTTCTATATAGGTCTAGCAATAGTTAGCGTTACTGGGCCAAGCGACTAAGCCCATTGAGTGAGTCAGCGCGAGAGACCAGGCCATTGACCGCTACTGGACTCCTCCTACTCGATCGCTATGTTATTAAAAGAAAGCTTGATCGCTACAGTACAGGTATCATCCGCTCGTCGCCTGGCTTGGAACCCTCGACGCCTGGAGCCCTTGACGTCGACGCATCGTCCTGCATCATCCCTTGGTGGCTCTGGCTCGGTCCCTAGCCGGACTTCAGATTCAGGCCGACTAAGCCACAGGTCGTTGCCGTGGTGCCACCGTTGCCTTCCTCGCCTCCTTTCTCATATTTCAGACTTGACGACGATCGCCTAGTGAGTCCTTTTTTTCGATTAACTTCAGTTCCTACTCCTAATTTCTAATTTTCTAATTAATTATTGGCAGGGATCATTAGTTCAATTTTATTTTATTCATCTTCTTGGTTGAAGATCACAGAACCGAATATTATGTGAGTTAGACGGTTCGTCTAATTGCCAAACATTGATGCATGATCTCAAATTGATATATGTTATGTATAAATTTAATTTTATTTTATTCATCTTCTTTCTCTTGTGTTTCAATAATACATATTTGAATAATCATGGGAGAACATATGTTTGGTGCCTATAAGCGCAAGAGAAAAGCACAAGAAGAAAATTTAATTAATTATGTAAGACATTACATTATATACATTACAATTTTTTTCATAGGATATATATATATATATATATATATATATATATATATACATTGTAATTGCTCGTCAATTTTTTAAACAGGCCCTCATTTTTTAGTTTTGCACAGGGCCTCAAATTTTGCCGGCCCGGCCCTGATCGAGGCCTCTGGAATGACGCCGTCGAGTGCCTCAACAGCTTCCTGCCGGCCTGCCCAAGGAGCTTCGGCGTCCAGGCTTTCCACAACTTCCTCTTGATGCACCACTACATCGCCAGGCTCGTCGACGGCGACCAGGATGCCCTTTGACATTTTCTTAGCCGACAAGTGGATGCGGCATGTCGCCTACACCAAGCAAACTGCCCATTGGCCGGTTGCCCGTGTTATGGCTCGCTACATGCTGTTCATGGATACCGTCAGGTATGCATATACAAAGTTGTGCTCCTCCATTTTTGTATATAAGACCACAAACTCATATACATGTACCAAGTTAAAATTTAATGTCTACTTACAATCTAGGCTGTCTTCTGTTTACCGGGATATTTAATACACTGCATGCAAATCCTTCAATACTCCTGCATGTGTTTTTCTTTCATGCCCACCCACGGGGAGCCAACTCACTCACACCTCTCAAGAGATAAATAGCAAGCGAATAGGAGAGTGAGGGGAGCGAGGAAGTAGCAAGCGTAATTATCACTCCATGTATGCAGTATTAAACTTGTTTGTTTGTATGAGAAAGCCTTATTATTTTTTGCTCGATTTATGTTAGTGGCCTTGTATGGATGCAATATGTATCTTTCATAGTGGTCTTGTATAAGTAAATGAAGGGAGACGCACATCATTCTTACCAGTCCGTCCATCCGTCGACGCCACCACGGCGCCCAACGGCGACACCGCCCCGCGCTTGTCCATCCAGACGCGAAGATTCTGGAATATCTGTCGTGCGTAGCATTGCTGACCAGGCATAACACAGCGTAGCACCTCTCGGCAAGGCATGACTTGACATCACCACCGAAAGTTCCGTGCAAGACGAAGCCACCCCACCTCGTGCCTCTGTCTTCCAGCGCTGCTCCACAAACAATACTCCCAAGAGAGAAAACGACACCATGATACCACCATCGTCCGATCTGGAAGACCAGATCCTAGGGTTTTCCCCGGAGCAGCACGAGTGGGTCGCCAGTAGTTACACGACGATGCCTTCATCAAGGTAATGACACAGAACACCGCCATCGCCTGCCATCGTCTCGGTTTTCAGCGGCAACTATGTCTTCCCAACTCGTAGCCGAAGCTAGATGACAGATCTCGAGATCTGCCCATCCAGCGTCAGGCCGACCACCTCCGGCCAAGGAGATGGCCACCACAGCCACGCCTAGGGCCGGAGCCCCCGACGTCCTCGTGTTGCAGGTCCAGCCCAGAAGTCGCTTGATGTCGCCGGATCAACGGAGATGCACGACAGCATGTGGAGCAGCCCGTTCAAGCCCATCTGGGCCCAGATCGGGCGCCCTAGCCGCCGCCACGGAGATCTTGCCGTCGCCGGCTCCAGCATGCCAATCCTGGTTGCCGCAGGCCCGCGCCACCGCCCTTTGATCCGGCCGGAGTAGGACGCCGCCTCCCAGATCCAATCGCGGGCCGAGGAGGATTGCCGCCGCCGTTGCTGCGGCCCGCAGGCTTAGCATGCGACGCCCTTGGCGACGGCAGCGGGAGATGGGAGGTTGCTAGTGGCAACTGGAGGCGGCCGGCGGGGTTGCCCCGGTGCGGCGTGGCGCTGCCGCATGGGGGGAGAAGGTCTCGGGGGCTCGGGGAGGAGATACACCTTCCTCAAAGCATAATTTTTTTCTCAAGCATTTATTTTCACGTGGGATCCTATTTGGAATTGAAACCCTGTTTGGCCAACAACCTGCAGATTTCGAATTAACTAACTCTCGCGGTATTGAGCCATGAAGAACTTCCATGCTTATCACAACCAGATATTTGCTCTTGTTGCACTAGTTTAATATAAGTTGTATTTTTTTTTGAGAAGTCAAACTCCTCTATGCTTAGGATTTACCAAGTTTTATAGAGAAAAATGTTAATATCTACAATATCAAATCAGTATCATTAAATTCATCATGGAATTTTTGTTGTTGAGAGAATCATGGAATATATTTAGTTAGTTGGTAATTGTTTTTATAAATTTGGTCAAATAGAGAAGTGTTTGACTTCTGGAGAAATTAATACACCTTATTTTGGGATTGGATGGAGTATTTGTTACCTTTGTAGTTCTTCACTAGCAAGGTTTATGCTATGGACATCTCTGCATTGGCCCGTGTTCCTGTTACCTCACACTGTGCTACATTATGTGACAATCCATTGTTTGGTTAGTAAGCATGCCCACTGCTTGGCCGGTTGGCCCTTAGTTGTAAAAGTAGTTTTTTTTTAAGATGTAGCTTGTTACTGACTTGATAGTATTACTTCAAGGCGAGCGCTAGGCGGCTGGCTGATCACGCGCAAGGATCAGCCAGCTTGACAGCCGTCTTATGCGACCTGCCCCTGGCCGTCTAGTCCTCTCCTCTACCGTCGAAAACCGCTCGTGCTGCAGAAGGATCCCTCGTCTCTCTTCTCAGCACCTACTTGCAGCAGTCCGTTGTCCCGGTTTATATCATTTTGTGTGGTAACGTACAGAAATTTCTGTTATTTATCAGAAACCAATTTACGGTGCTTTCCAGTAAAAGGTGACCATGGAGAAGGGAAAAAACCTTACCCTCCACAAGACTAGCAGAACAGTGGTAGTATTAAGTCAATCCATATCTTTAAGTTTGATTATTTTTATATAAAGAAATATCAAGATTTAGAATACCAAATAAATATCATTGCATTTACCATGTTCAATTAATGTATTAATACAGTGCCTGAATAATATTATAATTTTTTTATAGGCAAAGAAAAGAGTCGAGAGGGTTGTAACACCAAGGCAGAGAATGATATCCAGAAATAAGGATTTCAGTGAACCTCCCGGCTCCTCGGCGATTTGGGATTCCTGGCCGTTGGATCGCGTTGCTTGATCAGATCTGGGCCGTCGGATCGACCCCTGGAACAACCTCGTCCGTCGGATCAAAAAAAGTTACTGCTGGAATGAATAGTTACTCCCCGACCGTGCCACCGCGCGTAAATAGCCTGCTCCGCCGGAGGAATTTTCGTCATTTCGCATCCTCCGGTATAAAATGGGGCCGCTCCTATGGAGAGAACCCTAGCCGTCACTCCCCGTCCCGCCCCGCCGTCTCGCTCGCCCCGCCCCGCCCTGCCTGTCCCGCCCGCCCTGCCCTGCCTGTCCCGCTCGCCCTCGCCCTGCCGCCGCCGACGCTCGCCCGGGCACCCATCCCCGGCCTCACGCCGCCCATCTAGAGAGATGGGGGCCGCGCGCGACGAGGCCGGCGTGCCGTCGTCTCGCGGCGGCCGAGCCGCCGGAGGGGAAGAAGAGGAAGCGGAAGGCCGCCAGCGCTGGTGGTGTCCGAGAAGAAGAGCAGGAAGCTTCCCTTCACCCCCAGCAAGGACCCCATCTGGCGCCTCACGCAGATGGCCTCGCTCGCCACGGCGCTCACGACCACCAGCGCCGTCTTTAGCAACGACATCACCTACGTGCCCGGCATGGCGCCCCGGTCCGCCAACCAATCCGCCCTCGTGGTAGGAGGGATGCAGGTCAGACGCTTCCTCCAATTCCACCACCCGATCTCCATAAAATTCAGTGTCACGACGCCATTTCAGTTTTGCTGAAGCTTGGGTGCCATCTCATTTCAGGTGCTGCCAAGGGGGGATGCAGAGGCATTGAGCCTATGCAAGAGGATGATGGAGTAAGGGGCCTCTCCTCGTCGTCTTCAATCCGGTGGAAGGGTTAGTATTGTGTGCACAATTCGCTGCTCATTTTTGATCTTGTTCTTAAGAATCATTCAGGCACTGATTATTGTGTGGAATTTCTTGGACAGATTCATGGTCGAGGCAGACAGGCACATCAAGGATCTGACCATCATCACCGAGTACGTCGGCGAGGTTGACTACCTTCGAAATTGTGAGCACGACGACGGTGACAGCATGATGACTCTGCTCTTCGCCGAGCCGCCATCCAAGAGCCTCGTCATCTGCCCCGACAGGCGGAGCAACATTGCACGGTTCATCAACGGGATAAACAACCGTAAGCATTCTCTTCCTCTGATCACCGTGCATTTTATGCATTGATCGGAACCATGTCTGAAAAATTTGCGTGATGATGACCATTGTAGGGAAGGCATGAAGAAGCAGAACCTCAAGTGTATGCGGTTCGCAATCAATGGTGAATCCATTGTCTCCTGGTGGCCAACAGGGACATCTCCAAGGGGGAGAGGTTGTACTACGACTACAACGGTGACGAGCACGAGTACCCAACTCACCATTTTGTATGACACATGAGCTGATGTTTAGTCCTTTTTTTCATTTATCTGTGCTGATCCATTCCCCCAAAAGTCAACATGTAGAGTCATCTAATTAGTTGATATATCTAGAATTTTCACCTGGAAAAAGGAAAAAGGGGAATTGTAAACACTGTATATCCAATGGAATGGAATGCAACGGCAAAGGGGTTGTTCTGTTCATGCATGTTTCTGCTGTAATTGCACTTTGTCAATGTTTTTGTTCGTTTAACCATTTTGAAAGAATGGGTTGTTCTGTTCATGCCTCTCTATATTCACGTGCTAAAATCACTTGTACATATACCACTTTAGCTCCATCATCTTTCAAAATGGTTAATCGTATCTGGTTGCCTGCCGTTTTGTGGGCAAGGCGCGGCAAGCCGCGCCACCGTGCCAGAATGCCAATGATTAAAGCTGTGTGCAGTGAACGTGTCTGAGAGGACCAATACAAGAGGTAACCCTGACATTACTTAATAAGTAAAATGTAGCAGTATTTAGAGCACAACGAAATGTAGTTGTGATGAGATCTTATTATCAGTATTCGTTGGAAAAGAGTATGTAATATGATGTGTCTAATTCTCACCTTTCCTCCAAGATCATCCTCTCCTAATATGCTGATTGGCTTATGTGCCACCCTTTTTTTATTGAGTACACGCGGAATGGGAGATATATAGGGGAAGAACAAAGGATGTCGTGTACTCTCGATCTGATGCCACCAAAATTGAGCTGGTTTGTACTCTCTCCCTCCATCCCATTTATGTAGTTGTTGTTTTCCTCTCCGACTGTTTTGTGCTAGGTCTCCCTCTTCTCTGAATACTTATATTGCATATGCTTAATCCGCTGATGTGTGTTGTGTTGTTTGTAGTTCCTTCCTGGGCTACACCAGAATTAGTGTACTAATCTGCATTGATATTATTTATTAGTATTTTGTGCTACACCAGAATTAGTGCTTAGCGAGCTCTGTTCATTGTTTACGTTGTTTTCCCTTTGGACCTTAAACATTCTTGAGAAATATTAACACATAAAATTACTATATTTGGATTGCACCCCCTGATATAATTTGTCTTTGAATATTTCTTTTTTATTTAATTTTTAGTGTATGATAAAATCATGAAAAAAAGTTTGACATAGTAGTCTAACAGGATAGTTTTCATTGCTGTGAAGTAAAGAAACAGAGAAGGTGTGTTGTGTATATGCCATATTTTCCTTCTCCGGGTTTCAATATTGTCCTATGCAGAACAGCTAAAAGCCTACAATGTCTGTCATCTCCCTTATAAATGGGAGCTAATTCTTTCTATTTATTTCTTACCCCCGTTGATTGCGAGAACATGTGACATAATGATAGCATGAGGAATTGGGGGTTATAATTTCTAACGGTTGAATTTCACATTTTTGCTCTTGAAACTTCTGGCAAGTAAAGCAAGCTACTTTGGTTTTGCTGGTGTGATGTGCTAGACGCATAACTGACTGGCTTTTTATTCTTGCGAACCATGCTGAGTCATGCTTGTGCTATACATGGGCCATTCTTTATACATCTTTACTGAGAATGAAAATAGCTATGATAGTTAAGATTATTGTTGCTTGATGCCGTGTATAAGCTGCATGTATACCATTGTCTTTGTACCTTTCCTATTTATATGCTTCTACAGAGTACTTGGTTCATGGACATGCTTCACTAAATCATTTCCTTATGAGCTAGAATAAGGTTTTTCTAGTTGGTAGTTGCACCACATGCTGAGATTGTTCATGTTGTGAAGTACTTCGTGCAAATGATTATTCTCAGTTCTCTGCCTCATATAACTACACATGAGGAGGTATGAAGGGTCGACCGAGAAACTGAATCAAACTACTTGATTTAAGGTATACTTTGGCCATTTCCTTCGACCCTTTTTGTTCCTCTTCTCATGTGTGTTATTAGCCTTTTCGCAAGCCTTTGTTTTCTTTAGAACTTCAAATGTTGAGAAGTATATTTTGCTGATTACTGAGTAGATGAACTGACAACAGGTGTACTCGCATAGTTAGAAAAATCTGAGGCACATGTTAGTTTGTTGGCAAGCCGTATGCATCAGAACTAGGTACTTTTACCTATCATGGAATTTGAGTATAATTTTTTTTGTTATCGCTCTTGTGTATATTTACAAGAATCTAAAGGTAGTCATGATTCAGCTGACCAGTAGGCTTTTCTTCTGTGTTTGGAGAAAAAAGAAGCTGGTAGATAGTAGAACCAAAGTAGTCGATCCTATATTTACATGAATCTAAAGGTGGTCATGATTCAGCTGACCAGTAGGCTTTTCTTCTGTGCTTAGAGAAGAAAGAAGCTGGTAGATAATAGAACCAAAGTAGTCGAATCCTCTTGTGCGTTTGTAAAAATGAAATAGAATAGCTACTTCGTGGTAGTTACATTCTGATTCAAATCCAATCAGATGTGCACGCAATGGTTCTAAATGTTACACAAGTAAATGAATAATGAATCAACAATTGTGCTTCTTTGCTTCATGGTTAAGCTAACAAATTATGCCTCTTTGCTTCCTGATTAAGCGTACAGTAGCTTGCATGATCTTTTCTTGGCAAGCCGAAATTTTCCTTTTCAAAAAAGGCCCATAGGAAGTATAATTAGGCATCTTCAGCTGCAAAAGTTCCTTTCACAGCAAGCTTTTCCATGTTGATATATCTGGATGCTCTAGGTTTCAAAAGATTTTCTTAGAGATTTAGGTAAATTTGGCTATAATGGCCCTGCAGATCATGGGAATGTTGCTGCAAAATTTCTATGTATGCTTGCTTGCCTATGTCTCAGTTTCATATGAATTTATACGTACAATCTAAGTTCATTCTTGTGCCCTTTATTTTTTTGGAATTCTATGTATTTTGACCTGTGGGTTTTACTCCTATAATCTGAAGAGTCCTTCAAATTGTCTATATATTAAAAATGACTAACTAATAATATAACGGTTCAAGGGTTTGTGACGTTCTGCAATTAGCATTCATCAGGAACCAAGACAGCAATCCTCCCAACATTTCAGCAACTTCCTTTGTTTTGAATCCTTGATAATTGATAGTTTCTTTCCCTTCAGATATATACTGGATCTGTGTACTGTGCTTTTAACTTATATATCCATGGTCGTGCCTGAAGATTGTTGTCATGTTTCTGTGGGCTACGCTGTCCCCAATACTTGCGAAACCACAAGGTGATGTACAGAATGTGTAAGTAATAAAGATTTGGATCGCCTTGGTCTTACTCTAATGTACTAAAATTGTTCAAAGTTGCCATTTAAAGGATCATGATGTATTACAGAAAAATCTGAAAATACTCATGATTGTCTGTTAGTCAGGATCAAGATTTCTGCATAATTACTATGTTACCTATTTTTATTTAAAAAATAGGCACAATGTTAAATGTGCTGGTTCACATGCCAGTTGTTATTGTTCTTCAGGCCTTGCTCTTATTATCGTATCTGGATATTCCTTTATGACAATTCACAGGTCTTGCGATTGGTGGGGATGGAACCATGAGAGGAGCAGTGGCGATATTTGAAAAGTTTAAATGGCGTGGTTTGAGGATATCCATTATACGGATCCCAAAAACCGTGGACAATGACATCAGCATCATAGACAGGTCGTGTGGGCTGCGCCAGTATATGTTGTTTTCTTGCAACTGGTCTTTGGGTCAGTGAACAGGAGCTGGAGACACAAGGTGAGAACACTATTTATGTCATTTGTTTCTTTCAGTTTTACTCATGGGACACCGATGATTGGAGTAGGATTTAACCAAGCTTGGTGTTACCAAGCTACACCCGTTGTCACCTGAAGTTATCTCACGCCAAGCAAGGATCAACATTGGGTACATAGTTGAAGTCTTTTAATTTTCATACAGTAAAGCTGATTGGTTCGTCATTCATATTTGGATCCACCTATTATTTGTTTCTATTGATCTATAAGTTATACTAATGAGATGTTCATTAAAAAATAGTTCCATGACTTTAGATAATTGATCGAGAATAGTGCGAATAAATTGTTTTGGCTTCATATGCATTAAATAAATAGTTCCATAACTATTATAATTGCATCATTTGATCCATGAATATAGACAATTTAATAATTTGTTCCTTGACTTGCTCTGTTTGGAACCTTCTCTTCTCTGTTTTGGGGGTGAATGTTGAGGTGGTCCGAGCTCAAAATGGAAAATTTTCCAGGTGGTCCTTTTCCATGTGCTTGTGCTTGATATTTGTTTTTAACTGTACAATGTTTCTTTTTTTTCAAGAATGAGCTGGAACGTATTGTCACTATAACACTGGGTTATGATAATGCAATATCTAATTTCTATTAATTTGCTTTTATATATTATGAACTTCAGTTTCTTTATATGCCAAAACAAAACCACTAATTTGGAAACCTCTGTCATTGTTATGATGCCTTATTGTTCGTGACAATGTCAAACTCAATGATATTTTGCTCCTATTGCATGTGAATGTTTCTTCTTCCTATTAGTTTGTTGTATCCTATTTGAATACGTATGCCAAACCGGGCTTCCTACTAAATTGAGCATTACCTGTTTGGACACTTCGTTGTGACCGGCACCCTCGCGCCAAGGCGCGTTTCCGATCTAGTATTTGTTATTGCTGAACAACATATGTTATTGAGGACTTTTTTTGGTAGAATGAGAAAAGCAACGCACCATTGGGGAATTGAGGACCGTATGGTAAGACACTGGATTTGGGTTATTACTTGCATTATTGTCATACCAGAGTTGGCAATACCGCAATAGAGCATCATACTCAGAGTATGTTCTTTTTTTTTCGAAACAGAACAACTCAGATTATGTCATGTGCGTCTATCTAAGTGACTAAAA